GTTTGTTTTTGTTTTAGATAACAAAACAGAGCATGGTGGCTCTGTAGGCTTAACACTGGAATGACTGCACACCACAAGTTTGGCACTTCTAGCCCACCAGCTGTTCCGTGTGAAAAGGATAAAGCTCTCTACTCCTGCAAAGATTTACAGCGAACAGAATGCCTCATCTTTCTCCCACAGAGCGGCTGGTAGTTTCAAACTGCTGACCTTAACGTTCACAGCCCGATTCGTAACCACTACCCTATATATATATATATATACTGTTGTTGTTGTTGTTGTTAAGTGCCGTCGAATTGGTTCCGACCCATAGCGACCCTGTACAGGGTTTCCGAGGGTGTAAATCTATCTTTACGGGAGTAGAAAGCCTGATCTTTCTCCCGCCTATATATACTACATACGTATGTATACATATATAAGGAGCTCTGGTAGTGTAGTGGTTATGAATCGGACTGCAAGCCGCAAGGTCAGCAGTTCCGCGGGAGAAAGATGAGGCATTCTGCTCCCATAAAGATTTACAGCCTCGAAAACCCTGTGAAGGGTCGCTATGAGTCGGAACCTACTCCACGGCACAAAACAACAAATAACAACTATATATATACGCGTATATATATTGTTGTTGTTATGTGCCGTGGAGTCAATTCTGACTCATAGCGACCCTGTATAGGGCTTCCAAAGAGGGGCTGGTGAACTTGAACCGCTAACTTTGAGGTTCAAATGACTATGCAGTCCAGGGCATTAACCTAGTCCATATATATATATGGACTCCTGGTTTGATGCTGTTGGACAAGCACACAACCATAAGATGGGTTTGAAATGCAAGGTTGATGGTTCAAATTCATCATATATAGCTGAAACCCCCATTTTTTTATATATAAAATGTATTATTGTGAATTATGTGATAGTTTGCTTGGGAGAACATTAGTTTTATATTCATTCTATTGTATATCGTTTCATTGCCATGGTTACAATCCCCTCCATGCATCATCAACCAACCAAAGGGTTTACGCTACAAGCCTGCCCCCCACCCCCCACCCCCCGGGTCTTCAGCTGCTCCATCTCGCCACGTCATCGTCTCTGCCTCCATCTCAGGCATCACTGCTTCTCTGGGTAGGGTCCCTCTGTGCACTCTTCTCCATTGATGGTCCTAGGGACCTCCGCTCCTAGACTGGAAAGTTAATCGCTCCCCTCCTTGCTATAAAATGTCTACCTTTACATTTCCAACCCTCACAACCAGTCCTGATAACAATTATGCACTATTGTGTCACAAGAGACCCATCTGCATTTCATTTCATCAGCTCCTCCTAGACAGATTGGATACTACTCACTGGAAATTCTACCTTCCTCCAGGCCCTCTGGATCTAGGTTCTCTCTTGAAAGCTTGTAAGCCAGTCACTTCTTGCCTTTGTAGC